AACTATTTCACCAGAGTTCGCCTTTGGTAACCCTTTCTATCAAAACCCTAATGAGAATTTGTCTCAGTCTATCGTTTCAGAAGTGTTAGATGGTAGTAATTACCAGATGTGGGCTAGGTCTACTCGCATTGCTCTCAAAACTAAGTACAAACTTGGGTTCATTGATGGTTCGATTGAAGTCCCAGATCTGAGAACCCACCCTAATGAGTATAGGGCTTGGGATGCTTGTAATACAGTAGTCTTATACTGGATTATGAACTCTTTACACAAGGATATTAAGCGAAGAGTGCAGAGTCATGAGGTAGCACAGCTTCTTTAGGAAGAGCTTAAGGACAGGTTTGGTCAAGCTAATGCCATTAAGTTGACTAACCTGGAGGATGAACTCCATGCCACAAAGCAGGGAAACATGACTATAACTCAGTACTATACTCTTGTGAAGGGATTGTGGGAAGAGTATACCAAATTTAATCCCATTGTGTCTTGCACATGTGCTCCAGGACAAGTGACTCCATGTCCAGCAGTGGAGGCTTTTAAGACTAAACAAGAAACATACTACTTAGTCAGATTTCTTAGAGGAGTAGCACCTTCATTTGATGTAGTTAAAACTCAATTACTGATGATGAAGCCTCTGCCCGCAGTGGTTGCTGCTTATGGTGACTTACTTCAGCATGAGCAAAAGTTGAAGGGAGATCAGGGTAAAAGTAATCAATCAGTTGCACTTGCCTCTTTTGGGAACCAACCTGGCCAAGGAAATACTGCAGGGAGACCACCACCAAGGTCAAATACTTATGAAGTAGGAGATACTAGTCTCTTTTGCAGGTATTACAAGAAAAACAACCACACAATTGCTGACTGCTGGAAGCTGAAAAGGAAAAACAAGGAACAGGGTTCAGGGAATGGTCAGCGGTTTGCTGGAGCAGTTAATGATGGGAATGAAGGGAATTCTGAGTCATTTTCTAATGGGGGCTCTGCTAGCCAGAGCTCTGGTAATCCTGGTACTGGAAGTGTTATGAGTTTGCAGTTTACCAATGATGAGCTAAATAAATTGAAGCTCTTACTGCAAGGGGTAGCAAACTCACCTTCTCCATCACCTTCACCACCTCATTCACCAAGTATTAATCATGCTGCTTTTTCTGCTTCACAGCAAATGCCTCAATTCCCTAACTCAGCTGGTAAATACATTCTTTCCTCATATATTCACTGCCATTCAGGTGTTCTTTGTCAATCATGGATCTTAGACACAGGAGCCTCTGACCACATTGTTTGCTCTCAGTCATTGTTTGTTAGCTGTCAACCAGTAAAGGATGTCTATGTTTACCTTCCAAACAAATCTAGAGCCTTAGTTACACACACTGGATCTGTTAAGCTACCAAATGGGATGCCTTTACATAATGTTCTTCTCATTCCCAGTTTCACTTTCAACCTTGTGTCAATTAGCAAGTTAACACATGACTTACCTATCTCACTAAATTCCCACTCTGACTTTTGTCTTGTCCAGGACCTTGTAATCAACAAGAGGATTGGCTTGGCAAGACAAAGTAGAGGTTTGTACCCGTTAACTGCTAGTCCAGAGAGTGAACCTAATCATTCAGTAGCCTCAGTCTACAACTTCTCCACACAAAAGATCAATCTCTGGCATTGGCGTCTAGGACATCCAAGCTCCAACAAGTTTTTGTTAGTTAAACAATGTAATCCCAGTGTTCAAAGTGAGAGAGTGAAACACGGTGATATTTGTCATTTTTCCAAACACAAGCGTTTGCCTTTTGGTTTAAGTGAGAACAGAGTTGATGATGTATTTGGTTTAATCCATGTTGACATATGGGGGCCCTTGGCAGTTAAATCATATGATGGTTTTTCCTATTTTCTTACTGTGGTTGATGATAATTCTAGAGCTGTTTAGAATTATCTTATGAAACACAAGTCTGAAGCAAGATCATTGCTTCAAGGTTTCTGCATTATGGTGCAGAAACAGTTTTCTAAATATGTTAAGATTATAAGAAGTGATCATGGCAAAGAATTTCATATGAATGATTTTTATCATAAGCATGGAATAGAACATCAGATATCTTGTGTAGCTACTCCTGAGCAGAATGGCAGGGTAGAGAGAAAGCACCAGCACATTTTAAATGTGACTAGGGCCTTAAGGTTTCAATCAGGAATTCCCTTACAGTTTGGAGTGACTGCATTCTACATGCAGTTCATTTGATCAACAGAATACCTACACCTGTATTAGACAACAAGAGTTCATATGAGATTTTATATCAAACACCACCATATCTTGGACATTTGAAAGTCTTTGGCTGTTTAGCCTATGCCTTAACATTAAGCAATGGCAGGACCAAATTCTAGACAAGAGCTAGACAGTGTTTGTTTTTGGGATATCCTATGAGAATCAAAGGTTATAAGTTGTTTGATTTAACCACTCATGATATCTTCATCTCTAGGGATGTTGTTCTGTATGAAGACATCCTACCTTTTAAGAACTCCATCACTTCTGCTGAAGAAGACAGTGAACCCTCTTTTCCAGACCTTCCAACTGTACAATATCCTTCTACTACTGAGTCTTATCTTCCTGATAGCCAGGCTCATGGGGGCCATGCACAACCACCGGATGCTTCAGGGACACAGGATTTTGCTGCTAGTCCTAGTCCTCTTCCTGGCTTTTCTAGCCCTTCTTCTTTTACTCCCACTAATCATCAGGAAGCTTTCAGTGAATCTGATGATTATAGGGATGCTGAGCCTGACTCTCAGGACTCGGATGATGATGAACTGCCACCAGGAGATGAGTTGGAAGAAGATGACTTACCTCCCAGAACCAGGAAATCTCTTGTATGGCATAAGGACTAGGTCACTTCAATCAACCAAATCAGCCAATACTGTATGGCAAATTACATTTCTTATCACCAATTCACTCCACAGCATAAGAGGTTTGCACAGAACTTGACAGTTTTGATGGATCCACAAAGTTATAAAGAAGCAGCCAAGGAACATCATTGGAACAAAGCCATGGAGGAGGAACATCATTGGGTCATTTTCAATATAAGGTTTCTATATTAGATATTTCTTAAATTTTGTGTACAACTTGTTGTCTCAAATGTGTCGGATGAGGCTCTATTTATGGTCTTTGTTGAGAAAGAGAGGAGGTTTTTGGGATCTCAATTTAGAAACTATTTGCCGTGGAGGAAAATGACCCAAATATTGTACCTACTGCTCTTTTGAGAAAACAAATTTTGAAGTTCCAATTCCCACATTACGATAGAGGAATTCAATATTAAGAATTCATCACATGAAGCGAGTGGTTTTGGATATTGCCAATGCCAACAAAACTAGGTACCGAAATAGAGATTAAGTAATTCGTGTGTGTCAAGACCAAGAACTGTGTCGCTTCTGAGTGGCTACTTACACCACCATCATAGCACCACCAACCACACCTGCAATCAAGAGCGCGAAAAGGAAGCACATTGACTGCTCCGATAGTGACGAATATATACCTGCCTTCTCCAACATTTATCAACATAAATCAATATTTCAGTTTCCTTAACACTTACACAAACCTCTCCGACCTACTTCGATCTCAGCAGGAGCGTTATGGTAACTCCACTAGATGGTTGCGCCCTTTTACCTCAACCTACTGATTGGTCTGGTTGCTTCTTCTACTACACCCATCCTACATAAATGAAACCTTAGTCCAAAATGTTTGGGGATTGGCTAGGAATGTGAATGACCATTGGCCGTGTCACTTTTTGAGGAAAATCTTACAAACAAATCACATTATAACATTGAGTGAAATAAGTAACTTCATTTCATAACAAACAAACTTCACAAACTTTTCCAAAATTCATTTTGAAATAGTAAATGTTTCATGTATAAGCATATAGCTAAAATATGAAATGGATCTACATCAAAATATGGTGACTAACGTACTTTATTGCAAACGAGTATAAATCTTATATATATAAGTATGTATAGTTCAGGCTAGCATACGCCCGGGCATACGTTAGACTACCGTACGCCCATTTGAGTTTTGCTATTTAGATCATGAATTAACCAAAGTTTTTGGATGATACTATACCCTAACCACTAATGGATAAACCCCAGTCCCTAGTTTTCTAACCCAAATCATGAGATTCGTTTAATCTTAAAATGAAAATCAACAATAATTTCGACGAATCAGAACCGTTGATTTTCATTTCAAGATTAAATGAATATTATGCTTTGGGTTAGTGAATTGCAGACTGGGGTTCAACCATTAGGGGTTAGGGTATAATATCATGCCCCAAACTCCGGTTAATTCATTATCTAAATAGCAAAACTCCAAAGGCGTACGGTAGGCTAGGGTACGTCCGGGCGTAAGCTAGCCTTTGCATCATATATATATATATGGAGACGACTGGTATGCTCCAGGAGCATAATATGCTACACATGATCTGACTGTTAAGAATTTATATACCAAATATAAAAATAGTAATGTTTATGAATCTATTAATTTGAAATGGATAGAGAGCATTAAGAATTTTAGAGCACATGATTGTAATTTAACAGGCGGCACTGAATTACAAGGATGAGTTTAAAATTACTCTTTTTGAATCCTATATCAAATCACGCTTCCATTCTCACTCTATAGTTCCTTTATACTAGTGTTGTTAAAGCCGAGTCGAGTTGAGCCGGTCGGTCGGACCGGTAAAACCAACACCCGGACGCCAGCCCGGCTCAGAACACTCTAAAAACCACAATGGTCAGGAAAGACGGTTGGTAAGCGGTTTGAACGGCTAACCATTCGAACCGTTCAAACCGATCAACCGGTTCTCATTTCAACCGTCCAATTAAAGGAACATGTTTCTTTCGGGGTAGGATACTATGCTAACCCCCTAAAGGGTCTGTTTTTTGACACACTCCTCTTAATTGGTCATTTTTCCATTTAATCATTTGGTAAGTTGTATTAATGAAAGTTGCTTTTTATTTTATTTATTGTAATCTTGTAAATTGGGAAAGCCTTAATTGTAATAATAATTATGAATGGGGAAGGAGAAAAATGTTGGAGGAGGAAAGTGTCTTTTCAGCTCCTATATTCTCCATATTCCCTCCCTAAAAAATAGCAACCCATCCCTCTCCTCTGCAGAACTTGACCGTGGCCCTCTCCTCTGCAGAAATCGATGGCGGCCGGAAACCATCGAGTTGCTCGCCGACGGTGGGATCACCTACGACCTGCCTGGTGGGTTGCTCTTCGCCGAAGGATGAGACACAAAGGATGAAGAATAACATGAGGGCGGCGGCGGAGATGAAGACGAACGTGAAGAAGAACACCTAAGGGGTTTATCGTCGGCGGAGAACCCGTCGGAGATAAAGAACAACATAAAGGGTGGCGGCAAAGATGAAGAAGAACGTGAAGAAGAACACCTGGGGGTTTCTCGTCGACGGAGAACCCGTCGGAGATGAAGAACATGAAGGGCGGCGACGGGTCATTTCTTACCGCACCCTGTCGTGAAGTGCAACCCTACAACGTCTGGGAGACGGCGACACTCCCATGAGCATGTACCACTGATCTGGTACAACTACCACTGATCTGGTATATGTATCATTGATCTGGTACAAGTACCAGAATAACTATTCAAGCCATACTTTCCACACCAAAATGTGACCATCCACTTGTAGTGTTAGATATATTGCACATGTACAAAATCGAAACTCATCCTAAATGTTCCCATTTCAGTGTTAGATAGACTTTGGAGTGGTACCATTGAAATGATACATGTATCATTGAACTGTTATACCAGTAAACTGATACATGTATCACTGAAAAGATACACGTACCACTAAACAAATATATGTACAACCAATTCGATATGTAAACAAACCAGCAACTTCTCATTAGTATCACCACTAATCGTGGAGTAGAATGTGTTATAAAAAAGAAAAATGCCAACAATAATAAATTATCCAGTCAATGCAACAAATAAACATGAAGTCACTATGAAATTGTTTGTGGGAAGTCTAATCCAAGGGAAATCAAGTATAGCCTTTCTATCCTCTGAACCGCACGTCATTTTTTGTCGCTCCCTGTTGTGAAGTCCAACCCTTTAGTGTCTGACAAACGACAACACTGCCGTGAACATGTACCACTGACCTGGTACATAAACATGTACCACTGATCTGGTACATATACCAATGAATTGATACATGTACCACTGAAGTGGAAACCATCGAGTTGCTCGTCGACGGTGGGATCACCTACGACCTGCCTGGTGGGTTGCTCTTCGCCGAAGGATGAGACACAAAGGATGAAGAATAACATGAGGGCGGCGGCAGAGATGAAGAAGAACGTGAAGAAGAACACCTAGGGGGTTTCTCGTCGGCGGAGAACCCGTCGGAGATAAAGAACAACATAAAGGGTGGCGGCAAAGATGAAGAAGAACGTGAAGAAGAACACCTGGGGGTTTCTCGTCGACGGAGAACCCGTCGGAGATGAAGAACATGAAGGGCGGCGACAGGTCGTTTCTTACCGCACCCTGTCGTTAAGTGCAACCCTACAACGTCTGGGAGACGGCGACACTCCCATGAGCATGTACCACTGATCTGGTACAACTACCACTGATCTTGTATAAGTACCAGCATAACTATTCAAGCCATACTTTCCACACCAAAATGTGACCATCCACTTGTAGTGTTAGATATATTGCACATGTACAAAATCGAAACTCATCCTAAATGTTCCCATTTCAGTGTTAGATAGACTTTGGAGTGGTACCATTGAAATGATACATGTATCACTGAACTGATATACCAGTGAACTGATACATGTATCACTGAACAGATACACGTACCACTAAACAAATAAATGTACAACCAATTCGATATGTAAACAAACCAGCAACTTCTCATTAGTATCACCACTAATCGTGGAGTAGAATGTGTTATAAAAAAGAAAAATGCCAACAATAATAAATTATCCAGTCAATGCAACAAATAAACATGAAGTCACTATGAAATTGTTTGTGGGAAGTCTAATCCCAGGGAAATCAAGTATAGCCTTTCTATCCTCTGAACCGCACGTCATTTTTTGTCACTCCCTATTGTAAGTCCAACCCTTTAGTGTCTGATAAACGACAACACTACCATGAACATGTACCACTGACCTTGTACATAAACATGTACCACTGATCTGGTACATATACCAATGAATTGATACATGTACCACTGAAGTGGTAACCTGATACAAGTAACCGTGCAACTATTCAAGTCATACTTTTCACACCAAAATGTGACCACCCACTTGCAGTGTTAGATATAATGTACTCGTATCATTAGCAAAATCAAAACTCATCCTAAATGTTCTCATTGTAGTGTTAGATATACTTTGGAGTGGTACCATTGAAATGGTACATGTATCACTGAACTGATAGATATAACAGTGAACTGACACACATATCATTGCACTGATACATGAACCACTTAATAGATACGTTTACTACTGAAATTATATATGTACAACCAATCTGATACGTAACCAAACAAGCAACTTTCCATTTGTATCACCACTAACCGCAGAGAAGAATGTGTTCTAAAAAAAAGGAGAAATGGAAATAAAAAATAATAACCAGCCAATGCAATAAACAAAAATGAAGTCACTAGGATATTGTTTGTGTGAAGCCTAAATAACGACAAATCAAGTGTTGAAGGATGACTAGGTCACTTGGGTAATGCAATGGGAAAACATAATTTGAATTATAGAGTTGGGGCTGCACTTCTTGCCGCTAAGATAATCAGTACGTTTTCTCTTCCCCCTAACTTGTTGTCCATTATCCTGGATTTCACGAAATCGCTTCTTGCTGGTACTCGCACTCGAGAAATAATCCTGACCTAACCCATTTTCTTCATTAGAAAAACACATAGCTTTCATGCCTCTTCCCTCTAGGCACTCAAGGATATGGTCTCTTCATCCTGGCTAGTTCTGTAGACAATAATTAGCACTATCAATGCAGTGATAGAAATACGAATCAACAAGTAAGACAACTATCACTTCAGTGGTAAATTAGCAGTACATTTTTGCACCTGTTGACTTCCTTCGAGCACCTAGAAGAAGTACCACTGCACTGGTAAGGCATATCACTTCACTGGTACAAATACCACTAGACTGGTAAGACACATCACTTCACTGGTACAAATCCCACTTGAATAAAAAGTTTAACATTGATAACATTCAACAAAAACTCAAACACTACAATTATCATTGGAGTGGTAACATTACCACAAGAAGAAAAAATAGATCTTAGTGGGTATGAGAGAGAAAAACTAGACTAATAAGGAATAGTTAAAAAATCACAAATCTAAAAAATCTAGGATAATGATAAACTACCAGTAAACTGGTAACAATACCAGTACTCACATATGAGTATAATCATAAACTACCAGTTCACTGGTATCAATACCAGTTCAACACCAAAAACCCAGATCTGGGTATGGGAGAGAGAGATAGTGGGAGAGAGAGAGCTACCTCGGATTCTTCTTCTCGTCGCCGGGAAGGGGAGGATTGCCAGTGTAGGAAGGGGAGACGGGTCGTCATCTTTGCCGGGAAGGTGAGGAGGGTCATCGTCTTCTCCGTCGATCCCTTCACAGTGCCAAGCTTGTGGAAGGAGATGGAGAGTTACGACAAGCTTGGCGTTGCTCGGAGAACAGCGACAGTCACCATCTAAGACATAGCCCACGATGGAGGATGTGGGACGGAGCCGGAGGGAGATGTGGACTGTGACAGTGAAGAGGCGACGACGGCGCAGGCAAAGAGGGAATCGAGGGAGAGAGGAGGAAACGAAAGGGAGAGAAAAAAAAGGGGAGAAGAAAAGGGTTTCAAATTGGGGGTGAGAATCGTTTTTTCCCGGATTCCTTCCCTTTTCCAAAGTGATGAGAGAAATTAATTATGTAATTAATGTAAAAAAACAGATGATTAATCCTTACCATTGGATTAGATGGATGATATCTAAGAGGGGTGTCAAAAATCAAACCACCTTAAGAAGGTAGTCACGCTAACCGCTCCCGTTTCTTTCCAATTACTTCAAACATCGGGATTCGGAACAAGGGACGCGCGTGGGGTTGGAAAATTGCACTTATCAATTCCTTTCCTTTTCCCGACTCAAAGCCCAAAACCAACTCTTCCTGTTGGAAGCTGTTACCTGTGTAACAATATATATTAGGCTTTTTCATTTTTTTTGTTGTTTCTAATTGTAATTATTAAATTACTAGAGCCGCAAAGGCCAACTCTTCTTTCTTGAATATTTGTTAAGCATTAAGATACATGAAGATTACGAATTTTAGATGGATTATGTGTAGGATTTTGGATGTTATGTCTTGGGAGAAATTCACATATGTGGATAGTTCATGTGAGATTTTAGACTTAGGCAAAATACACTTGCATAGCCAAAACTTTCACCTTTGTGCCACTTATAGTCACATTTGGCGAAATACCACTAATAGCCACTTTTGAAAGATGTTGTGTGCCAGATATAGCCATTTCCGTTAGAAACTTTGACGGTGTTAATAACTCCGTCAACTTATTTGACGGTTGGCTGACGAGGCGCCAAATCATCAACCACATCAGCGACAGCTAGGCAAAAATTGACACGTCAGCTTAATAATTAATTTATTTAAAAAAAAATCCCCATATACCTTATCTGTCGAGTGTCGAGGCTTCCAAATCTTCTCCATCTCTTTCTGAAAATCGAAAAATTAGGGTTCTTCCCGATCGTTCCTCTTCCCCACGAAGGAGATACACGAATCTTGATCGGAGCTTACTCCTCTCCCCCAAATCTTCTTCTAGTATGCTCTGACTCGGCGCTTCTTCCTTCTTCCCCAAATCCCACTTCTACTCGGCAGATTCGCGGCCCCGAAATCGCGACTTCTCCTTCCCATGTCCAAGCGAGCATCTTCCTCAACTTCGACTAGCATCAATAGCCGAGGGGCGGTACCCTGTTGGCACAAGAAGCCATGTGTGGTGAATACATCTGGAACCGAAGCGAACCCAGGAAGACAGTTCTATGGGTGTCCATTTTGGATGGTAAGGTGTTTAGAAATGGGTTTTTGATGATTGTCATTGATGTGGATATATAGTTGAATGCTCGTATGGTGCAGGACGAGAAGAAGAATTGTTGTTTTTTAGGTGGGTGCGAATGAATGTCGATGAAGATAAGCACCATGATTCTAAAATTGGGCTGTCGACTTTGAATATTGAAGAAAGTTTGAGGCTAGCTGAGTGTAAGGCGGAAAGGAGGAAGAAGGAGAAGAAACTTTTGGCTGAAGAGCTATCAAGTTGGATGAAGGCACATGAAATTATGCTAGCTGAAGGAAGGAGAGTAAATCATGAAATCCATGTTATTCGAGCTGTATTGACAGTGATTGTCTTACTTAACCTAATATTGGTTATTATTATGTTGCACCATGTTATTATGTGGTAGGAAATTAATCGACATTGTTGATGTAATTCGACATTTGTATCCCGATTCCAACGTTTTCAAGAATTAGTGAAAATAGAGATCTAATGTTAGTTTAGTAGGGAGAGTTCATCAAGGAGATGTAATGTAATTCTCTCTGTATGGAAAGAATGGATGAAGATTTGGTGAGAGATTTTGAGATCCCCTGGTTCATATATACAGAGTTCATCAACTGTTGAAGCTAGCAGCAGGTTTTAGTGTAATAGAGAGAGTTGCTCATTTGTACTTTGTGCAAAAGGGCGTATCTCAAGTAATAAGATGACAAAGTTATGGCACATAATCAATAGCATAATCGTAATTGTTCATTACATAAGTCTGCCTATCAACATACTCCGAGTTCTTTCTAATCCGAGCATTACATTACAATAGCAAAGCCTACCAAACATACTAACATACTCCGAGAGTGTTCTTAAAAGGCCAATACACGAGTCATCTATCCAAAATAAACCTCTATCGAGGTAGCTAATAGCTTAATGGCCTTCCACAAAAAACATTAGATGACTCCTGGATTAGGTCTAAGGCTGCGAGGGTGGGGGTTGACTTCCATTCATCTGGACCTCAGTGGGCTGCGTGGTTCCAAACGCTCGTCCTCTCGCACCATTGAGCTGAAATAGTAGCATAAAAATCAGCCATTACATTAATCATCGATAACAACAAGCATTTTACCGTATAAATACTTACTCTAACGTATTGGTTCCCAGTATCCTCTTACATGTAGACTCTAATTCCTCTTGTGGCAGCTCGCAACTCGCGCTCAACAGTCCTCCGATCAGCAACATTCAGCCTAACGTCCTACCATAGCAAGCAAAACACGAACATTTAGCAACTTTGCGAGGTTCAAATTCATCTACTCAATTAGTCTGCCTATTCTAGCCACATCCATTCAACTTACTTGTATACCTACTCCTCGGTTTAGAGGACATGTTCGTACATTATGCGT